ATTTTGCTACATACGCAATCTTCAAAGATATAGTGAGACGCAATTCTGGGTATGTACTTCTTGCATCGGCACCATGCGTCTATTAATTTGTCACCCCTCTGCATTTGCTTAGGCGGAACGAAAGTTTTCCTTACGGATGTCTTATCTTCAGCCAACCTGATCCACTGAACCTCATTTTTGTTTTAAATGATCTAGGTCACTTTTCCAACTTTCAGAGCCCCCGCTGAGTCACGTTCCACGCTAGGCAACCGAACTTCCTTCGCTTCACGTATCGGATTACCACCGTTCTCGTACCGTCCCCATATCGTTCTCGTACCGCTAATATCATTTCCCGGTTTGACATTTTCCTTCACTACTAGTTTTGTATCGCTAGAGGCCTCTTTTGGATACTTTTCCTACTGTAATATTACCAGTTTTCCTATCGATCTCTCTTTCAACATAGAGTTTCGTTATACCACTTTTTCCAACGTTACATACTGTCACTATATCGTTAAATTAAATCAATATCTACATCCGCACATTATCTTTCTTATCTGCTACGTATTTGTCCCAATGCCCGAGAAAGCTGAAGTTATGTCTGCTGCTCGTTCTGAGGTCGACCGTATTTTAGAGGAGATATCTGTATTGTCTACGGGGAATCACCAACCACCTATAATATCAAGTCACGCGCCGGTCCTAACAAGGTCACATGTAGACCAGAACATTACAGTGGCGACAGCGAGTGCCGAACCCACCCATATGCACCGCGTGCACACCGTTCCCCCTCGCACCCCTTCCACATCCACACGTCGTCCCGATCCCTTTTTCGCCCCTGTCCCCTTTCAACCTGGACAGGAAATTGACGTTTGCCTAGTCAAACTCTCATTTTTCTTGGTTGATATTCCCCCACCGGACCATACTTGTTACTTGCTCGCTCTCCTCTCCCCTGAAGCCCTCGCCCCTGCCCTCAAAGACGGTCTTAATGTCAACACCCCTTTTTCAACTGCTCGCGATCGTTTACTGTCTTTGTTTGTCAAATCCCTTTCGGCATCTGCTGCTGGTGCTCAATTTTACCGTCTCAGACAGAAACCTCAACAGTCCGCTAATGATTTTGCGCTTGAACTCAACCGCTTGGCTTGCCTTGCTTTTGCCTCTACACCGGCTAAGGAACGCAACGAAATTGTACTCGATCGCTTCATAGCTGGGCTGCACGACCCAAACCTGATGTAACACCTGGTTACCAGCCACCCCCCTGATCTTCGTACCGCACTAGTGCAATGCGACCGTTTTGCTCAGGCTTTTAGTCAATAACCCAATCCGCCTGCTAACCTTTCAACTCCACGACCGTCTGTCCCATTTACGGCACCCTCTCTTTCTCAACCGATTGCGTCCATCCAAAACCACCAGCCGGCAACCCCTTCCCATCCGCTTCCCCAACCACAACCCTGGCTGCGAGTACTGCAATGCCTTTGGCCCTCGAGCGCGTCATTGCTGTCATAACTCCCCCTGTAAGTCCCTTCTTTTTAACTCTCTTTCTGTCCATAACGTTTCACACCCACCTGCTTTCACCATCCCCGTGTCTATGTCCGATTTCAGTATACAAGCGTTAGTCGACAAGGGGGGCCAATGTTTCCTTAGCATCTTTATAAAAGCCCCCCATTATGGACGTAAGTTCGTCCACCCACTTCCGGTGACGCATAATTTAAGGGCTGCCAACGGCACATCTATCCACATCTCGGGTACTCTTACGGTTGATTTTGCTACTGACCAGGTTCCGGTTACCCACACAATTATCATCGCCCCAGACAGCCCTTGGCCCCTCGTTCTCGGTCTTGATTTTCTCTCTGACCACGACTGTGTTATACACGTCCGCGGACGGTTAGTGACTCTCGGTCCAAAGTCTGTTAAAACTTCACCACCGGACTCGGATGTCGACCTTGAACTCGTATACAACTCTGTAGTGTTCTCTGCCGCCCTCGAACTTACTGACTTAGTCTCCGTACTACCTCCAATCTCAATAGTTGGCGCAGTCGCTTATGCCCAACTTAAAGACATACCTACCTCATTCTCCGGTCTCTTTACTTGGTCTCCATCGGCGTTAGGAAGTACCCGTCTAGTTCAGCACACGATCGATACAGGAGACGCCAAACTGATTCGGCAACCTCCCAGACGCATTCCCCATAAGTATCAGGCCGAGGTTGACAAGATCCTTGACGAGCTCCAACAATGCGATGTAATCCGGCCATCGACCTCGCCTTCGGCTTCCCCGATTGCTATCGTACCTAAGAAAGATGGCCCCCCTCGGCTCTGTATCGACTATCGCCACTTGAAGGAAATCACTGTATGTGACACTTTCTTCTTTCACCTCTCGATGACATGCTCGATACTTTAGGCGGGGCAGCGTGGTTCTCTACCCTGGATCTTAAGTCTGGCTACTGGCAGGTAGAATTTGACCCAAAGGACCGTCATAAAACGGCCTTCATAGTCCCACAAGGTCTTTTTGAGTTTCAAACTCTTCCATTCGGCCTTTGCAACGCTGCTGCTACTTTCCAACGTCTGATGTGTAATGTCTTGCGCCATCTCATCCCCAGTTAGTGTCTCATATACCTCAATGACATTATTGTCTTAGGGAATTCCATCTCCCAACACAACGAGAACCTCACCGCCACCCTTACCGCCTTCCGTAACGCCGGACTGACTCTCAACCCCGCGAAGTGCCTTTTCCTCCGACAGGAGGTACAATTCCTAGGACAAAAATTTTCGATGGCCGGTTAGCTGTCCTTCTCAAACGTCTACACGAGATTCGCTTTTGGCCTACTCCGACCGACCAGACCGAACTCCGTAGCGTTCTCGGTTAAGCATCTTAGTATCGTCGTTTTATCAAAAACTTTGCGCATATTGCGGCCCTTCTCCAAAAACTGACAGAGAAAAAGCAAGTTTTTGCCTTGACCCCAGAGTGCGACAATGCCTTTAACGATCTCAGAGCCGCTCTTTATTAGGCACCTCTCCTTGCGCTCC